AAAAAAAAAAAAAAAGTAAGTTCAATTTATGGCCCAAAATTAAAATCAATTATACCTATGTAGAATAACATTAAGTTTTACTACTCTTTCTAAAAACAAGACTAAAACTCAAACTGGACCTAGCTTACGGCACAAGAGTAAATGAATTAAGGATCCAGATACTGCTCTCTACACTTTTCTTGCAGAATCACATCATCCATATTAATAATGATAGAGGGCCGGCCCAGTGGCTCAGTTGGTTAAGAGCTCGCTCAAGAGTGCGAGTGGTTCGATTCCCGGTCCGAGCTGAGCTGCCACTGAGCTGCCAACAGGTGGCAGGATGGCTCAGCTAAAAAAATAAATAAATAAATAAAATAATAATAATAATAATAATAATAATGGTAGTAATAGTACCCAATACTATTGTTGCTCTTACGTGTCTTCCAAAGTGTTCACAATACTTTCCTTAATTATGTAATCAGTAGATACAATACACCTCAGGAGGCTGATAAGAAGAGCAGGGGAAGAAAAGTTGCCAGAGACTATATATTAAGCTAGCTGAATAATCGAACTCTGAAGTGATTTGTTAAAATCAATATCTAAAGACTAACGATAATTCTGGTATTGAACTGCTAATAACAGCTGACCTAGGGAAAGTTAAAGAATTACATTATTAAGAAGTTGTTATGATCCTTCCTTTCACCTTATCTTTTATAAACTGTAATATAAGTTGTTTAAAATCATAGTGCTATTATGTTGCAAGGACAAAAAAGTCAGAATACACTCTTCAACTGCCCAAACCACTTCCTTCCAAGAGGATGATGAGATCTTTATCTTGGCTTATCTCTAATAAAACAGATTCACCTATATGAAATCATGGCAAAGATTATTTGATTTCTTGGTTATGACAAAAATGAATGAATCTTCAAAATCTTTTACCTTTAAAAAAGTAATGAAAATCTGAAAAGCATTTCTTGTCATTAAAGCAAGAATACAGTATTCAACTATAAATTCTACAAACCTTTAGAGCTCTTAACCAATTACTCAAAATCTTTTCATGCACTCCTGCGATTTACCCTAAAATGAGATTAGAAGGTAAATTTCAGAGGATTTCTTTACCACATCTGCCCCTTCAATTTGCAAAGAAATGACATGCTTTAAAAATGTTTTTAGGGCCGGCCGAGTGGCGCNTAGAACTGACCTGGTACTTTATAAAGAAAACTATAGAAATTACTGATTATGTCTTCTCTTATTACTTAATTATTAGTCTAAAATTCAATAATGAAGTAAATAAAAAACTCCTACTTATACCATATAAAAACACTGACAGGAAAATACTTTCCTCATGCAGTTAAGTAACAGAACCATAATGTTATACTTCATCTTAAAAGAGAGGATAGTATCTGTGGATAAATATACAGAAGTGTTTGTATTTGGAAATACAGCAGGCGACACAGCAATCTTTAATGAGAGCATCTGGAAATACAAAGTATCATACCTGCAAGCAAAGTACAATGGAGTGGCTCCTGATACGTTTGGCCTGTTAATATCAGCACCACTGTCCAGCAAGCACTGCACTGTCTGGGGGGAAAAACAATTACAAGTAAAGCCAGAAAAGTCAAACAAAGACACAATTATCATCATTTTAATTTATATAAGGGAATTTCTAGCCACACCTCAAAGCTTTAAAGAAAAACAAGTAGGAACATGACATTTATGATGGCTGAACAAATCCAACTTTTGGTAAGCTCTCTGCGCCTCACAGGCACTGCATAATCCATGTGGCATTATCAATGTAATATAAACTGTATTAACCTGGGAAGGCTCCAGAAAGCTGACACACGTAGCTACCAAGGACTTGAAATTTGTCTAGTAAAACTGAGGAAGTGAATTTTAATTTTATTTTACAACTAATTTAAGTTTAAACAGCCTCATGTGGCTAGTAAACTGGACAGTGCTGCTCTAAATATCTGAATCTATAAACAAAAATTTTTTGCCTTTTTAAAGAAAAAATAGCTACCAGAGCTATAACTCTCGCAAAGTCAAAGAACACAATATTTAAAGTACAACAATGTTAAAAAGCTAAGAGTCCTTTTGCTATTAACAGTAGCCAATCTTGACTCAGTTTTTCTGATAGTCATTCATATACACTCTGTCCCCTAAGCTTTAGTAATCCAATAAAAAATCTTAAAAATACATATCTGATGATTAGGGATTGGGCAAGGCTAACCTGAAAACCTTAAAAAAGAGCATCTTTTCTGCTTTTATTCCCATGATCCTCATTTGAATTTCTTCTGCAAAAAGGAAGAAAATGTATAAAAACTTAAAAGTTTTTGGAATTAGACAGTTTAATATTATTTCTGGAATGGACACGTGTTCATTTTTGTTGTTGCTCTAAAAACCTAATGCAATGTCAATAAAATAATAAGACTATAAAAACGCACAAGGAAGGGCCGG